CCGGTCACCCGGTCACGTTCAGTCACTACAATACGACACCCTTCTGGAGGACTAGCCAGATCCGCTCGACCTCTATCATCACGGCTGAGGCCCATGCACTGCACATGCCACCCTCGACACCCTAAACCCCAAACCCTGAAAAGCAGGCAAACAGCAAGAAACGACATGGCCCAGACGAGCAATTACAGCAGTGGTGTTACAGGTCTTCAAGAATCAGTAACTGAAGGTTATGATCCCTGTGTTGCAACAGGCCTCGTTGTCCAGCAACCCGGTCTAGCCAAACACACGCTCCCCTTACAACCTTAAGCCCTACTTCAACCCTAAGCCGGTTGTCAGATGCAGTGCTACTGACAGCTTGCTGTCAAAGCGATCAAAACAGACTTACTGGGGTTTGGGGTTTAGGGTTTAGAGTTTAGGGTTTTGTCTCGCCATTCTTGGATTCATCATCAAGTCTCTCCACCTACACCCAATTTTCCGCAAGCACGCGCCAAAGCAGACTCCAAAACCCCCAAGCCCCAAAAATCCTAAAGACTATACCACCCCGAAACCCTAAACCCAAAAATCCCTAGACCCTAAACCCTATACCACCCCGAAACCCTAAAGCCAAAACTCCCTAGACCCTAAACCCTGAACCCTGAGTCTTCCCTCAGGGCTTTGCAGAGAATCGAAAAGGGAGTCTGCAAGGGTTCTATGAGGGTTTTTTGAAAGGGGCTAGGGTTTAGGGTTTAGGTTTCAGCATTTAGGGTTTGGGGCTAGGGTTTAGGTTTAGGGTTTAGGGTTTCTCACAGGGCATCTGTGAGAGCTCTACCAGGGTTCTACGAAGGGTCTGATGCGTCTAGAATTGAGGGCTTCTTTTATGGTTTCTACTCTAAGGTTTCTATGAGGCATTCGTGGTACTGGCCGTTCTGTACAGGCCCTACGAGGGTTCTAACTGTGATGGTTTTACCATGAGGCTTCTCTGAGACTTTGAAGCTTGCCCTTAAGCTGCAGACAAGTTCTTCCTGAAACCGTTCCGAGCACGACAGCAGGCAGCAAAATGACTGGGAGTGGGCTAGGTTCGGGGGTTTAGGGTTTGAGATTTAGGAGAAAGGACTATCATAGGATCCATTCCCCACTAAGAACCAGGGAATCGTCTCTCGCTTCTCAGCAGGTGTAGGGCATCCCTTCTTGTAGGACTCATTTATGGCTTTAAGGTCTAGGATTTAGGGGTTTCGGCTGAGAGCTTATAAGGCTTAGGCTTCCGGCTCGAGGGTTCGGGTCTAGGGCTCAAGAGCCTAGACTTAGAGCTGTCGCCAGGCCTTTGAATTGATGCAATCGGCACGTTCCAGGTCGGTGGGTGAGCCTGCCCCTAGCGCTCGCTCTCACCAAGCGGCAGCAGTTGTCTCTTTTTCTCCTTCGCAGGCAACATTCGGCATCTGCTTTCATCTGGCTGACGCCGCAAAGCTTGGAAACAGAAGCACGCTTCTAGGGAAACCTCGTTGTTCATGCCCCATACGCCCTACGTACACTATACCAAACTGCTGAAGGACAATTAAAAGGAGGAAGCAGACAGACTAAAATAAAGCAAAAAATCCTCAAGGTCTTTGGGCCTGAGAACCCTGGTCTACAACAGCTAACCTTTCTGTTCTTGCGGCAGGGCTTTATGCCCAAATATAAATCTAAATATAATATAAATATAAATATAAAAATAAATAAATAAATATATATATATATACACACACACGTACATACAGGCATATGGACATAACCTGATGTACCCAAAACGGTTCAAGGCTTCCTACCCCTCAGTATCATTCCAACAGTTCCGCCTCATTTCGATCGCTCCATGATGTCAAAGCAGCTGGAAAGCTCAACCCCAAAATTCATTAACATTTAATCCAAATCGGATTCTCTTCGCCAGCATTTACTGCACTCTGGACGTTGCTCAAAGAGTTCGAAACCTAAGGATCACATGACCCTTAAGCCGTCCAGGCCCTGTACCCCTCTACTGTGAATCCCTGATGATAGGCCATTTTAGGCTAGGCTTCATGTTTGGATTGAAGACCCCTCGAAGTGTCTAAGGTCCTGGCACTGCTGCACTCTTAGGCCTCTCGGGCTCGCCCGTGACGGTCCTCTAAATCTCGCAAGTTCATGGAGGCACGCCTGGGTCATCGCGATGGTGGTGGGGTTGTCCCAGTCGTCGTGGTGGTCGCAATCGTCCTGTTGGTCATGGTCGCCGCGGTGTTTGTGGAGCTCGCGGTCGTCGTGGTCCGTGGTCCTGAGGTTCCTGGACGTTTTGGCCGTCGTGATAGTCCTCGTCGCTTTGGCCGTCGTGGTCGTCAATGCACATGGGGTGTGATCTTTCTTTCACTGTTCGGGGATATGAAGGCGTAACTGGTGTTTTTGCAAGATTAAATCAAGGATTCGATTCTTCATCCCTTGCAAATCCTAAATGCTGAACACAACGTCCGTCCTACAACCTAAAACTCTAAACCGTGCACAAAACATCAACTAGTACTTGCACTGCATGCAGAAGACAAAAGAGGAGAGGAGCCCCACGAGGTTTCCAGGAACAGCTGCGGTCGGTTCTGCATACTGCCCTGGATTTCGCATCGGCATAGGCTCTGTGATTTTACTTTATTAGGCGTTGTCGGTTGAGGATTTAACCCTAAGGGTTAGGGCCGTGAATGATCCGGGCTTTTCAGCTCCATATGACCGGTATCAGTATCTTTATAGGCCCTCGGAAGTCTTCAGCGTGCGGAAACAACTGGTTCATCAGCCAAATGAGGGTTCTGGGTTTAGGGCTTCAGGACTTTAGGGTACAAGCTTTATGGCTTAGGGTTTCAGAGTTTCGGGCATAGGATGTAATTAAACACGATTCACTCTTAAGTCAAGTTGCTATAGTTAGGTTAGATTCCCGGGCGTTGGTTTCAACCATTGCCAGAGCTGCCAATAGCCCGTACCTCTATGACCAGCCATAATGATCTTCTGTTATCTAGACCGAGGTTTCTGAAAAAGGGATCCGTGATCGGGGATCGTTGGGGACCCCTTGGTACTTCCGTGTATTTCCTGAGGCTGAAGCTTGTAGACTCAGGGGCATGCAGAACCCATCAAAGTGGTGAAATCTAGCAGAGTTGAAAGAGTCCATGGCTGGCCAGAAGCCAAGCCATATAATTGCACAATGCCATTGAAATGCTCCCCGTGCTGTAGCGGCCAAGGTACTTTCATCGCGTCTGGTCTGGCTGTTAATCCTGAATCTATGCTTGGCTTCCCTAAACCCTAAACCCCAAGCCCAGTTACAATCAACATCCCTAGGCCCGAAACCCCAGAGCCCGAAACTCTAGAATTAAAGATGTGGGGGGTTCACCAGAGCAAACCTGGTTCCTCAATGCTTCACAGTAAGGCTTCGCGTCGACGACTCCGGGGCTGGCATAGACTTGAAGCCCCAAGCCGGCGGAGCCCTAAATTGGAGTTTAGGGTTTAGGGGTTTAGGGTTTAGGGTTTGTTTGAGAGAATAAGAAGAAGGAGCCCCCCATATGGAGCTGAAACAGCAGGATGCAAGGCGAAGGACCCCTTCAAACGGTAATCCACATGGAAGCATGAATACAAAACTTAAACCCAACAACAAGACGATGTGGACTCATAAAACCATTGACTATCACACTCTTGTTTTGGACAACCCCGAATCTCAATCGTGCACAGCCCTCTAACTCAAAACAAGCAGCAACAGCACTATGTAGAATCATAAAATCATAGACGACCACTGGTACTCATTCATAAAAGACACAGACTATCACATTGGCGTTTTTGAACACCCCTCAAATCTCGAGATTAGACCCGCCGCAAACAACGTGGGAGCATTCCAGGAGGCCTTCGCCCAAAGACTGAGGACCTGTGAATGAACTTCGTTTCTGGGGATATCATCTAAAGTATAAAGTCTTATCGGGTTTCGCAGGCTGCAGCTGCATCACGGTCGTGTAGGGTTATTAAGAACATTGTTTATGAGAGGTATAGAAGGTAATTATAGGAGTTGTTGTCGTTTTGGCTTGTTTTTACGGTAACTAGATGCTGAACCCTAATTTGGCAACTTACCTGAAGTTCACCTAACAGGAGCCCAGATGAGGTATCCCTTGGTTCTAGCTGCCCAACGAGATGCCCCAGGCCACGGCGCAGGATTTCTAACCTATCCTTGGACTTAGGTCTGGGAATCAGGGTGTTTCGGCATTATAGAGTTGTTGTAGGGCTGTGGAGACTATTGACCTGATGCTGGTTTCGGGATTTATGCAAGGTATCCCTACGACCTATATTGGGACCTTATAGAGGTTATCCTGTGTTTCGACATGGAAACGCAGTGCTGGGGGGTTTCTGGCTGGGACCATCGGTTCAAGATGACAGTAGCAGATTAGCGGCCGGAATGAGGAGGTCTACTACGAAGTAGCTTGGAGCCCAATGTGCCATGCTATCTTCTAGGTGATGCAACTGCATGTTCATGGCTTTTTATAGGGTTCAGAATTTAGGGCACGTATTTCGCCATCTTCCAAGCATGCTTCGGACGTTCAGTTCCCGGGTTCTCTTAGCTTTCGGGCTCCTGTGCCGTGGGGGCATGTAAACATGGAAGTGCCGATTTTCAGCTTCGCAAGGGCACAAAAAGACCCTTGCAACCTCCATCAGCTCAGCAGTATAATTCCGAGACATCTCCGGGGCTCCGTAGGCGGGTTTGGATTGGGATTTGTTGGAATCATCACTGTGCATACAAAACAAGCTAACATGATACGGATATGTCGCAGGCTATCTGCTAA